AAAAAGATTGAAACTTGTGAATTGTGAATGCATTTTTGGCTAGATTAGTGTCTGATTATTTGAATTTTTCCTAACAAAATAATATCAGCGCATTGGTTATGTAGATTGAATTTCTTATGCAGTTAAAATAAAAAAGGAAGATTCAGACATAATAAAGCTTACTTCCTCTCATTATTTTTTATAGAAAACAATGATGAAGGATCACTTATATTACAATGATTTGGTTTTGCCACTTGAGTGTAAAGAAATAAAGCCTAGTGTAAGATGGAATGAACTTAATCGAAAGGCGACTACTAATATTAGAAAATAGATATCTTCTAAATCTATTAATCATATTTTTCAAGAACATGACTACTATATGAATTGAAAGATGTTGGAAGAAACCTTTGTTAAGGAGAGCGCACAAAATAAGGTTTTTATAATTAAAAACCTTATGAATTTAAAGTACATAGATGGTGAAGATACTTCAGTATACATACATGAATTCCAAGAGTTCCTGAATCAACTATCATTAATGAATCTTGAGTTAGTCGATGAAATGCAAGCATTAATTCTATTAAGTTCATTGCGGATAATTGAAAGACCTTAGTGATTTCACTTATTAATTCTACTCTGAATGAAAACATCATTTTGAAGAAAGTGATTTAAAGGGAGGTGAATGCAATTAAAGGTGAAGCTAAATTAAGGTAAAGCTAAATTAGTAGAGTAGTCTTCAATTGCATTCACCTCCTTTTTAATCACCTTGACTTGCGACATGTAGAGACCTATCTTTTTCCCTTCACTTTCTTTAAAGTGATCTTTTCATTCGAAGTAGAATTGCTAAGTAATACCACTAAAGTCTCTTAACTATTTGACAATTAATTCAATAGGATTAGTTCTTGTATCTTATCAGCTAACTTAAGATTTATCAATAACAACTGATTTAGAAACTTTTAGAACTTATTTATGTACACTGAAGCATTTTTACCATATTTGTACTTTAAATTCATAAAGTCTTTAATTATAAAAACTTTGTTTTCTGCACTCTCCTTAGCAAAGGTTTCTTTCAAGATCTTCCAAATTGTATATCAGTCATGTTCTTAAGAAATATGATTAATGGACTTAGAAGATACTCATTTTCTAACATTTATAGTTGTCTTTCTTTTAAACCCATTTCATTTTGCTTCATCCATTTCATTAGGCTTTATTTATTTGCACTCAAGCGGTAAAGTCAAATCATTGTAATATAAGTGATCCTCCATCATTGTTTTTCATAGAAAATAATTGAAGGAAGTGAGCTTTATCATGTCCAAATCTTTCTTTTTCATTTTAACTGCAAAAGAAATTTAATCTACACAACCAGTGCTCTGATACCACTTTGTTGGGAAAAATTCAAATAATCAGACACCAATCTAGCCAAATATGCAATTCATAAGTCCCAATCTTTTTCCTTTTTATGCAATCAAAATTAGGATGACTCAATCAACAAAATAATACAATCAAACACACAAATCAACACCAAGAGTTTTATGTAGAAAATCCAATACGGAAAGAATCACGGGGTTGTAATCTATTTAAAAAATTTCACTATCAATAATTAATGGATTCACAAGTGTTCTTTCTTAAACATAACTAAGGGTTATAATATATATATCATCAAGAACAATCTATTTTGGAATACAGCAAAATTAAATAGAGAAGTATTCGAGAAAAACTCACAACAATAACAACCCCGTTTTCTGACCAAGAAACCAACTTGAACATAATCAATCTTCGATCCAACCATTTAAAATGAAAAGCAAGGTGTCTAGTATTGTCTATCAAAATCTTATCCTTATCCAATGGTTAACAACAAAAATAATGACAAACTGCTCATTGTATCTTTTCTTTCTTTCTCCCGTGCTCTCTTTTCTCTCTTCTGTTAAAAACCATTCTGTTGCTACAGTGGTAATATTTTGTTTTTCAAAGAGATAGCTTGTTGTCTCTTACTAGTTAGGGAGTGTTTGTTTTAATTTTTGTAATTGAGGTTGTGGTTGGGTACAATCCATTTATGCACAAAACTCAACTACAAAAGCTAATATTTTCTGCTTTTCTTGGTTTTTTAGTGGGTCCCATATCTAAACCACAACTTCCACCTCTAACACAAACACACACTTAATGTGGTGTATTATCACATGGTACGACGCTATACACAACAATCACTCCCTTCTTTGTTGTTCCAAGTAAAGTCCCTGCAACAACCCTCTCTTGTTTTTCTTTAAAAACTTGATAAAGAAGCCTCTTAGGTTCCTTTCTCAGTTGCTTACGAAGGTCAACAACATCAGGAGTCTCAACTCCAGTTGGTGTGCCTGAAAGGCTATGAACAGAATAAACATTGCCCTCCAACTCCTCTTCATCAAGTTGTTCCTCCTCCTTTTCTTTCTCTTCTTCTTCCTCCAAATCACCCCAAAAAATCTTCTTTCCGTACTGAATTGTAACCAGACTTGCTGAATCCAGAAGCTTCACTAAGGGATGGGTTGTTAAAAAACAATCTCAATTCAAAGGAGTTACCTCATGACCTTTTATTTATATTTTGATGTTATGTTAAAAACCTTCTCATCTAAAAAAATTAAATTATTAAACAAATTTTCAAAATATAATTTATATAATTCTCACCTGTACTACTGTTGTTTGACTTCGTACCTTTCTGCTGGTATTGTTGTTGTTTACTCTTTGGGCATGGGTTTTCAGCCTCTCTTCTTTTCTGTGTTTGGGGCTGCATCCCTTGCAAAAGACGGAAATTGCATCCATGGCTAGGTGGAGTGTTCTCTGTCAGGATTGTCTGCGGCACCTTCTTTATGTCAGGATTGTAACAAATCAGAACTCGTAACTCAACTCAGAAACCAAGTTCTGCCAGGGTTGATTTGTTGCTTTCAAAACTGTCTCCTTTTAATTTTGAACTTTCCTGAACTTTCCTTCTCCTTTTCCTTGTAAGATACTTCCTCTTTCTCCGCCGATCTAAAGCTGCTGGAAGTCCTTCTCCACCAGGACTGTTTGCCGACCTACTGACTTTGCTGCTGTTTCCTTGCTTCTGCTTTCTGCCGTAGCTTTCCAGCCTAGTTCTCATCAACAGTGTGCAACTCCTGAATTACTGGAGATGTCCCGTTTTCTCCATATTGCCACCTCTCTCTCGTTCTCTTTCTCTCCATATCTGATCTTTCCATGATCATGACTCACTCCAAGACTGCACCAGACACTCATGTTTCTGTCCACTCAACATTTGTATCTCAATATGTTCGAGCCTCATTTCCAAGGTGATACTATCTTTTTTTCCTACTTCTGTATCACTAATTGAATCTGTTTAATTTTGAATTCTGAATAATTTTTTTCTGTGGTGGATTTTCTTTCAGGTTCAAAATGCCAAAGAATTCAATCCCTAAAGAGGCTGCCTGCCAAATCATAAATGATGACTTAGTGTTAAATGGTAATCCTAGGCTTAGCCTGGCATCTTTTGTGACCACATGAGTAGAACCTGAAAGTGCTGAACTCATCGTGGCTTCTTTTAACAAGACAATGTTGACATTGATGAATATCCTGTCACCAATGAATTACAGGCAAGAGATTTAATTATGTACACATAATTAAGAGTAAGACTCCACTTTGTGATGCAATGATATTTATTTTTCTTGATATTCAATTATAATCTTGTGTTGCAATCATAAATTATCTTTGCTCATGGATTGCACAAATAATTATTTTTAAAATGGATGTTGCATTTAGATCCACAACTTGTTTCAGCTATTTGGATCTGTAATCTTTTGAGTCTGAATTATTGTCATCTTCTATGTAAAAATAAATGAAATTAAGACAATGGACCTCACCTTTTTTATTCCTATACAAGCAGAATAGATGTGTTAACATGATAGCACTTCTGCAAACGAGCTAGTAGCTCGGCTGGCAATAGTCATAGCACTTCTGGTGAGAATATTTCTGGTTCAAATTCTACTCACTCGCATTTCTCAATCCATACGTAAATATGTGATAGACTAAGGATATCGAGTTGGCGAGTTCTCCCTCAATGTTTGGCTTTTAGGAGTGGCTGCCCCCCATGGATCGTATCCACAAGTGTGTCCATGATATATATATATATATATATATATATAAGAAAAAAGAAAAAAAACAAAAAAAAAAAAAACATGATAGCACTTCTCTTTAACCCCCCCCCCTATTGGAGAACCAGAGACTATTGTTGGAATAGGGACTGCAGGATCTTTCTGAGGCAATGATGTTGGTTGTTTTAGAATTCAAAAGGAAATGGAAAATAGGAGAAAAGAGGGAAATCCCTATGATCAACCCAACATTGTTACTGGAGTCCCATTGGTAGCTTTTTCTCTGAAGGACAGGAGCACTCACAATGAATTTGAGGTATCCGACATGTTAAGGCGGTTTGGATGGATTGTGCCTGCATATACCATGCCTCCTGATGCCCAACATGTGACCGTGCTTCGGGTTGTCATACGAGAAGACTTCTCACACGCTCACTGAACAATTTGCCAGAGACATCCAGAAAGTTATACATGAGCTCGAAGCCCTGCCATCCAAAGTTTGTGGCAGGATTTCAATTTCTGTTGATGCTGATAAAGAACAGCATGGTGCTGTATTTGTTTTGAAGGAAACTGCTATATATAGAGAAACAGAGGGAGATCACTACAATTTGGAAGAAATTTGTAATGGAAAAGAAGAAGATGAATGGTGCCGAGATTTCAATTGCTCTTTTTCCTCTCCTCCTTCTCTTTTCACCTTGTAATGGAGAAGAATCAAAAGAGGTGATGACATCATACAAACCTCTGCCTCTAGCGTGATTGAAGAGGTAGTAGATATGTATAATTGTTGGATTGAATTGGCAAGCTGATTAAAATCAAATAAATTTTGGCATAAAATTTGTTATAAAAATAATAAAATATAATGGAGCAATTCATGTTCTATTTTATTCAGCTGATATGCTTCAAGATACGCAGTAAAAGGACAGTCCTTTTCCCAGTTTCTAAATCTCCTCCACTTCAACAACTTACGCTCACACGACTAACTATTCCAAGGAAAACAATCTACTTTGCCACCATGATCCCTGCATGGACCAGTTGGGCGTATAGACCAGCCACATACACCACAAATAAAGCTATCCCTCTTTCCTGTGTAGACGTCAAACCACTTGTTTCCTCCATTCCATACCGCATTACAAAAATATAAAGTAACTCCCCAAAAACTAGAACAAAAATCAAATGACCAGCTACCTTGAGGAGCGAGGTATTGTTGACCGAGATCAACACTCCCGGATTTGCAATGAAGTGAGAGCTGCAAGCCTGGTCCCAGATCATTAGTGAGGGTAAGGTATGTCCTTTTTGTCCAGCAAGCATCACCCATGGCTGTGAACAGCGTAAACAATACAGATAGTGCCCTGAAATATTTAGCGAAGGAATTCATGTTTATCAAGTAGTTTTTCCTTCAAGTATCTGGGTTTTTTTTTTTATTGTTTTCCACTTATTTATAGGAACTATTCACGTTTGTTTATTTTTTTCAGATCAAACACAAGATAACGTTTCTTAGAAGGAAATACAAACAGATACTATGCATGCACACACAAACGTCATCCCTTGATGATGGACAAGTGTTGACATTTACCTTTTTTTTCATGTTTATCTGTAATTTTTGAAACGTATCCTTTGATTTGTAATCTGGAGAAAGTGTTGGGTAGACCACAGATATCTTTGACAGATGTATTTCTATAAAGGATTACGTAGAGCATGTCTGTCAAATCATATGTATATTCATAGATTTGTGTTCTGGAAACAGAACAGAAGGTGTGATGCTAGAACTGTCACTGTGTTTGTTTTTTTTTTTTTTTTCTTGTCCTAAGATGGGGAAAGAATAGTGAGAATTTAAGAGGGAACCTTCATTTTTATCCCAAACAAATAACCTGATCCTCATTTTCATCTTAAATTAATTAATTTTATCGATACCATTTTCATTGTGTCCGATGTTACTTTTAATTGGGTCCAAATGTTCGATATAATACCCATGAATGGAAGACATAATTGAAAAATACATGATAATTTAAGGACCAAACTAAGAAAATATTTAGTATAGGGATCCAATTCAGATTTACGGATATTTTTTTTTCCAAATTAACACAATACCAAACATGAATCGAAGCAGGCCCCCACAGCAAATGTTTGATGGGAAACACTCCCCACGTGTGCATCAATGTTTGTGTCGGGTTTTTTTTTTGAAAAAAAAAAACTGTGAGTACAAGTGAGGAAAACAAATATCTATTTATTTATGATATTTACTTATTTGCTTAGTGTTTATATTCTTTACATTTTGGTTGCCAGAGACAAAAGGAGAAAATTAAATTTATATAAATTTAATATGTGTTTTTGTGTGATTGATTATAAGTGTTTTTTTTTTTATATATATACTAATTAATTTGAGATTTTAAAGATGGAGGCGGTGCATGTTAATATCAATATGGTTTGGCATATGACAAAAGGAAACTCTTCCTGCAAGTGCATAAAAGAAATGGGCTCAAATTATAAGGGAATCATCCATACAAACATCACACTTTCTTCACGCCATCACTCCTAACTTGAATCTTCTGATCTTACCGAACATAAATGAGACGAGATAAAATACTGTAAGAAATAGATGAGAGCATGCACACAAATTGAGCCTCATTATACTGCTCTCAATCCCATTTTGTGCCACACAAGACAGATTCTTGAGGACATTAAGGTTTGGATCCCTTAACCACGGTGACTGGACATGAAGCATTTGTCACCACATAGTAGCTAACACTCCCAAGCAAAACCCTGCAATCAGCATAGTTGAAAATGAGTGTTAATTTTAGTAATTTGATTGAGAACATATAGATGTCAGATTGGACGCGGTTCGACCCTGAATTTGAGAACATATAGATGTCAGATTGGACGCGGTTCGACCCTGAATTTGAATTTGATCTTATATGTTTTGGAAATCAACCCACTGGTCATTGGGTTAATTTATTTCAATATTTTTATTTAAAACAATGTTATTTTATTTTGAAAAAGAAAAACAAATTTATCCAAATTTAGTTAAGTTGGTGAAATTGACCCCCAACAAGTTTATCTAATCAATTGCTAAGCCGGGTTTAATTACTATAATGGAGTCAAGAAATTACTCTGCTTTATTTGTTTCCCTTCATTAGCTCGTGGATGATATTGAGAAGAAGTAGAGAGTAACAAGAGAATCCAGCATGATTGAGAAGAAGAGCAGCTAAACTTGACTCATCAAATTAAAACGAGGAAAGAATTCACAAATAAAGTAGTAAATAAGAAGAAAAATACCTCTTGATAGCACCTAAACCCCTACTTCCGATAACAAGAGAATCCAACTTGAGATCATCCACAGCATCAAGCAGCTTTTCCCTTGGATCCCCCCAGTAAACCTTTGCCACCACCTTAGCCTGCTACCCACACCATCATCAATATATATCATTTTCTAGCAGGAGATTATAAAGAGAACGTACAGATCAAAAGATCATGCATACCCCTTTGGTCTTTGAAACTGTATCAAGAATGTCAAGTACTTCAGGATCATGAGTAAGCCCATATTGCTTTGAGTAATTAATCTCCCTGAATTCCTCAAGTGGCACTAAAGCTGAACTCATCATCCCCAACAACAACAAAAAAGACATGAGCTTCATAAATAATAAAAATAAAATAAGAATGTACACCAGTGTGCATGATCCTGAATCTTCAGGGCATGAAATAGTGGTGAAATCTAGAAAAATACTTACGCGATCCATTTTCCTCGAAAAGCTGCTTCCTGGTATGATCAGCTTTAGGAGGCTGAACTTGGATTAGAATAACTCGGTCTCCCTCATCTATCAAATTCTCCGCTGCCCAACGGAGGGCTGCCTTGCTTGTCGGAGAGTAGTCCATGCCAATACCAAACGTACGTGCTTTTCCCATCTCTAAAATGCTCTCTTTCTCTGAAAGATATTGTTGGAGTTGCTGTATTTATTGAATGCTGGATGGTCACAATCTAAGCTACATGAAATTCCCTTTGGCCTTTGATTATTTATTTATAGAGCTGGAGGGGATGTTCTTGAAGCCACTAGTAGCTTTATTATTTCTTGATAAGACTTTATTCTTTCTTGATAAGACTTTGATCATAGAAAATAGGTTTTGGATAAAGAGGGGGGAATTTAGCGTCATTAAAGGTTGCTACAGTACTGCCCGTAGTCTTCAAAGAGGTTTTCCCCGCCCTTATATTTATTGCCATGCCAAGAATAAATTTATCTTCCAAAATTATATTCAATTAAGGTGGTTTATATTCACAAGTCATGTCATGTTTGTGGTATTAAACTAAGTTATGAGAGATAAAATCTCCATTTTCAAAAGAACAAGGAGTGTTTTTTATATATAAAAACTCTTCAATAAAGATCAATGACCTGTATTTGATTACAACATAGAAATAAATTTAATTTTAATATGAAAAAGTTAGTCTAGGATACCGCTTAATCAGAGAACTAAAAACATAAATATATAAAAAATAATATTGAAAATAATAACTTAAATTGTCAGTCTTTAGCTTTGTTTCTAAAACTTACTAAATCAAGTTTTATAAATCTCTTAATTACTAGCTACTTATATTAGCTACTTATATGATCTACTTGTAAAATTAATTAATTAAAATACATGTAATCCAATCCTATGTTAATTAAAAAGAAAGACACCTAAATGACGAAGCTATGAGCTGAATTCAAGTCGTATATGCTCTTATAATTAAAACAATTTAGAATGTCTACTAGTAATTGATTTGTTTTAAGATACATAGTGTCTTCGTCATGTTTCCATTAAAAAAAAATGAGTTATTTCTTTTTCTTTTTTTTTTCAATTTACGTGGGTGTCCGGGCTAGCTTACGTGCACCACGACTAATCCCACGGTCCACTGGACATCCTGCAAGCCTCAGTGAACAGGTTAGGCACCGCGGGGGTGACAGGCGTACCACACAGCAAGGAGCCAGTAGAACCAGGAAGGACACCACTCGCCAGCCCCACTTTCACTGGGACTCGAACCAAAGTTTGAAAGAAAGCAAGCAACGCCTTACGCCACTGAGCTACAAGTTGATTGGTAAATGAGTTATTTCACTGTTGGAGAGAATAAAAGGGGCGATTACGTGCTGGTCTTCAAGGTAATAAGATGGCGTCAACTTTCCTCTGTTCCCAGCACCCACTGCACAGATCATCTTCCTCTTGCCCCTTTAAAGATAAGCATAAATAAATAAAATACATAATGGAATTTGAGTTGTAAAACACAAAGCAGTGGAATTCGTCTTAATAAATAAAAAAAATACAGGAAATGGTCTCTCACTATATTCAAATCGGATGCTTATGCTACACTACTGTTGGCTGGATACATTAAAACATTTCAACGCAAAATAAAAATTTAATTTAAAAAAAAATATAAAAAACAAACAGTTTCTAGAACTTCGCAATAAATAAAAAGGTTTCAACTTTTTCAAATACTTAATTTACTACTAACTAACGTAGCAATCTTAACCATTTGGATCTTATGAAAATACTTGATTTACTACTAACTAAAAAATACACCGACTTTTTTTTACAAAAAGAAGAACATACAAAAATGCCCCAGAAAATTAAATAGAATTGCTTGTTTTTTATATGCTTTCTAAATTGTTTTTTTACATTTGAAAAACATTAAACTAATATTTTTTCAGGTTTTTTTATGATTTTAATATATTGATATACAAAATAAATAAAAAAACCTAACAAAACATCACTTTAATATATTTTTAATTAAAAATACTTTTTAAAAAACACAAAATACTCGCTTACTATGTAAATTCATTTTAAGTTAATTTAATTTCAAACCCATTAATTAAATCTCATTTAATTTCTAATCAATTCCTTATAACACACAAATATAAAACAAGAAGGGAAATAAGCGAATGGAACTACAAAATGGATTAAAAAGATTTGAGCAATCAGCTCAAATCCGAATCCAGGAAAGAAATTCTTCATCATTCGAATAATTTGAATGCAAATGATCTATCCAAAACCCAATTAAAGAAAAAAAGTGTTCTTGGTACAGGAATAATTAAAGACAGAAAGTTACTCGTAGTGTACGAACTCTTATACAAAAATGGCTTGACTGTTGAAAAAAAAAAGTTTCATCACATTACAGAAAATATTAGAACATCAAAGTTAATGGCTTCAAGCAATACAATCTGCTGGAAATTAAAATCCAGCTGCTATCTTTTTGCGCCTGTCTCCATCAAGAAATCCCAGTAAAATTTACTATACAAATAGTTGTTTGTTCTCGTGAGGGATCCAAAGCCACCAAACCTGCAGCGCAGCTAACCTTTTATGGCTGCTAGGTGGAGTAGCATGTTGGTTGCCATTTAGGTTTGGTGAGCTGTGGAGTCATAATCCTTGGCATCCAAGCATTCACTCACCTTCAATATTAGAACTGCTGTACTGTCCCTTAATTCTTACTCTTCAAATATTTCACGTTAGTGTTATTGAAACTCGACAGATATTATGGGTTGATTCACGATTTGATTAAATTTATAGAAAAATACCCAGAAAAAATCTGATTTTATTAAAAAAATCAACAATATTAAGATTTTATGAGA